TAAATGGGAGGCAGTCGCATAAAAGCGCAACAAAGCCAGCTACCCACAAAAAAAAGAAGTAGGCGCAAATTTATGAGTAATGCAACACATATGGAGTAATGAAGCAAGAAAGAGCCACAAAAGCAACTGTCAAGTATGTATGGCATGCAATTCTACTACCGCCACTAGCACGAGACGTTGAAAGATGCTATGGCCGTTGCGGTTGCGTGTCGTACGCGAGAAGCGCACAAAACAAATTGCTACAATGCGACAACGAGCAAGAGCAGCAAAGCGCTAGCAATGTGTGTGTAAGCGCCAGTGTTGCCAGATGTAATCTTTTAACTGTAAATTACAGTTTTCAGACAACCTTACAGTTTTCTAAATTACCTCCTAGGATAAATAAATTTATTTTGTTTTTAATTTTCGGTTTTAACAAATAATCCCCTATATGGCAACATTATCAAAGTGCAAAATTTTAAAGAAAGAGCGCACAATATGCCAGCAAAGATGATGAGCAAGGAACGTGAAATCTTGGCAGCCCTGACGCAGGGTGGAATAAATGCAAGATTATTTAGAGAACAGAAAACGGTTTAAGTATACTTTTTAACGGTTTATGTTATTTAATTTTAAATAAATCGTTTTTTTGTTTTTTTATGTTTAATAAAACTTAAAAAACCTTAATAATTTAAAAACTTCATTTTTGAAGGTTAAAATTTTTTGGTCGAAAATACCATTTTTTCTGGAAATTTATAATGTAAAGAAAAAGAAAATCTGGAAATACTGGTATGCGCTGAGGTACAGAAGTATTTGTGCGCGGGTGTTTGCTCGTGTGTGTGTCGCCCGTTGACACACATTCGCCACACAGAAATTTCGATTTGGGTGATATTAAAAAATTATGATTGCCATTCATTGCGGCGGCCATTACTTAAGTTGTCACTGCTGATAGTTGCTGTTATTGTAATGCATTCCGCTACGACGACAATTTTATTACATTGGACACATTATGCTTATGAAAATATGATTATAAGACAATACGGCATTTCAGTGATCAAGTGCTGGGGACGTCGAAGGCAAGCTCATACATTTTCGAGTGATTAACAATCATTTCATTTTTTATTTATTAATATAATTAGTTTATATGTATAACCATCTCACCAAAAATCCCTCGCCGATTTTTTTTCTTTCCACATTCGTGTCCGAATCGCGGTGTCAAATGATCCCTGCTGATCATCAGTCAGGTTGAGCCTCTCATAGGTCTCAGTCGCAAATGGAGTCCATCGAATACTCGGGGCAACTTCCTAAGCCAATCACCTTTACTCGGGTACAGCGGATATCTACCCGATAGGATGACCTTTTTCGGAAGCACCGAGCTTACCAATCAGGGTTTGAAAGCACCGTCAGAATGGGCACTTGTACGTCAATACCGGATAAGTATGCGAAATAAAAAGTCGCTATGCGTCAAGAGTAGTGGAGGAGGCTTCTGAGATGGCACCCAAAAGGGTCAACATACTAGGGGTTGGCACTCGATGCTTTGCTTTGATAGCAAAAGATCATAAGCGTCATAGATGAATGAAGGCAGGATCCCTAGACGCCAATATAATTGTGTCCCTTCTGATAAAATAACCCAGGAGCGCGTCTGAAAGTGGTTTATTGGGTACTAAGTATCCGATAGATGAATTCGAATTCGTAAATACTTACAAATATATAGATTAAGTTCTGACAGAAAGTGGAACTGAAATCGGACTGTTCCATAAAAGAGAAAACTAACTATACCGGGTGCGTGGTGTATATCATTTCTGAAGGTATGTATAGTCTCTTTGTGCATCTAAAGCGGCAGGTAAACTTTTTTCTGTGACGTCAACTCTTAAATATGAGCAATTTGGATTAGATTTGGAGAGGTGTCCTCATGTAAATAGCCGAAGCTTTTTCATCCTTACCAGAAAGTCGATCATTTCTAAGGAATTTTCTCACCAAGCCTCCGACAAATTAACACGGAACCACCTAAAAAGCAGCCCACACCTCTAGTAAAAGTGTGTAAACGCTCTTTTAGCAGTTTACTGTACAGGTTATCCACATGAATTCCCAAAGAAGGTGCTAGGGTACTGCCTAAAAACGACAACCGCTAAGCGTCTACCAAGCAAATAAATTCCTACCTAGCTGCAGGTACAATAAAGGTTTACGCGTTTTGAGCGGCATCTCTGTTACTTTTTCGCTTAAGCTACCACAGCACGAACTGCTACCAGGCTAATAGCCTCGAAAACTGGACACTTTAAAGATATGGAAGGTTTCGATTTCATCCCTGATCATACAGAGTACTACGTCTCAGAAGTAGCTCTTGTAGCCTTTTCTCTACCCAAATTCCCTTAAGGGATTACTGGCTGGGATGGGGTGACTGAAAGAACAGAATTGTGGGTCGAAAATGGAAGGTAGAACTGTGGTTTTCAGGGAGAAATAGCTGACATTAAAGAAGTAGTGGACAACCTGCTAGGAAGTGTAAGGTTAGTTAGGGAGGTAAATACATACTTCAATAGCCAAGCGTCTGTCGAGCCTCTGAACGCAAGGGTAGTGCACTCGAAACTGGTCAACCTGCTTCTCAATTGCGTCGGTGTACTTTTTGTTTAGGCTAATTTGGCTAAGGAAACAAAGACAGGCTGACGACCGGGCAAGGAAAGGTGCCCTAGAAACGTTGCCATCAGAAAGAGAACAGTTGGACGCACCTCCGACCTTCTGCGATTTACTCTTCGATAGCTCAGCGAATGCCGGATCCTTCCGCGGGAACCTTCGTTTTGATTAGCCATTGTCCATTTCGCATTCACGTAGTAAGGCTAGAATTCTTATCTTATTCCACCTGTCATAGCTGCCATAAAGATGATACGGTGGAATCCACTCAGCACTTTCTTTCCGCCAGCCCATCTTCTCAAGATTCTCCTTTTTTTTTGGGAGAGAAGCTCGGTTAGATTTGAAATAAAACTAATTTTTAGTTTGTGAACCTTGCCGATGTTTGGTTGAGAACGATTTCGCGGGTAGATATAAAAAAAAAAACCGTTCGAAGTTTGGATAGCTTCAGCCTCGGTTTCAAAGCGGGATATTTGATAAATCGTCCTTTTGTCTGCTATCCAGGACTCGAGGGGTCGCCCTCCAGCAGAGAAATTTCGACACAACTTTCCCCATGCCCTTAGTCGATATAAGATGAAATTGAAAAAGAAGATGAATACGTAAAGGAATACGAAGATGGAGACGAAGATGATGATGAACAAACATAAGATAAGAAGATAAAGTTTAAGATGGACAGGAAAAGAAATTTGAAGAAGAATATAAATATTGAAGAGCACGGTAAAGATAAATATGTAGGTGAAGGTGAATATAAAGATGAAGCTTAACTTTTCCCGCGCGTAGGGATTTCAGGCACTCAGTTTTGGTTTGATTTGAAAAGTTGTCACACCATCGTTTCTTTTAACGATTTTTTTATTGATTTCTTAATTTACTACATATTATGTAAGTAGATTTCGTAAACTCGAAAATCTGTTTTTAAACATACTAATGTAGTTTTTATGCATTTTCCCAACTAATATCGCCTATCGTCTAAAGTCATAGTCTTCTTTAATATACCAAAATTATGTTGCAGTTGGCAGCTGTCGACATACTCAGTCCAATAAACAAAAAAGGATGCACGACAATGGACGATAACATAAAAGTCATATCATTTCCACTCCATTAAAATGTATCCCAAGCCACCATTAGCCCACTTACATATTTGCTGGCGACGGATTTTATTACTTTCATAAATGCATATGTGGGCGTGTGTGAGCCATGTGGACCTACATTTGTATTAAGTATGAAGTAGCAAAATCGCTGCGAGTTTAGACAGAGATTTTTCAAAACATATTAGCGTGATTTTAAGAGTGTCAGGCGAACGCGAATGCCAGAGAGCTGGGTGGAGGCAAATATGTAAAATGTATGCGCAATAGAGGCAATGCTCAGAGAGGGAAAGGGTAAAGGCGACGCGCCATAAAAATTGCCACTTCAATGCATTCGGCTTTGCCCAATGCTTTCTACAAAGGTGTGTGCCTCAATCACTAGCAGACAACATGGAGTCGTAATTTAAAACTTAGAGGGCGTAGAAAAAGCAATCACATACAGTGTTGCATTTGAAAGCGCACAACTGGCTTTAGCGTGAGTTTGGCACTGTAAGCCGAGCGAAAAGTGAAAACACTTACCTTAGTAAACAGTTATTAAAACATGATTTATGTATCATCGTCTCTTATCAGCTCTTTTGCAAATTCCCTTTCGATTTTATTTATTTAAAAATCATTACTGTATCTTGCAAATACCCAATTTCACCTCCCTTGCACTTACCACTTGTTCGCCTTGAATTGTGACACCTCCGCATAGCGTCGTCCCATCGGCACCTCTTGTGGGCTCAAGAGCGCATCGCACGGCGGTAGACTCTGTGGCTCTGGTGGCATCTCTTCCAACACCACAACCGCCTCTTCACTAGCTTCTATCTCTTCTGTATTCACCTCCTCAGCATCGGAACTGGTGCACTGATCGCCACAAGTGCTGCTGCTATTGCCGCCCTCATCCTTCACCAACGCTTCATTGACATAATTGTGTAGCTTTTCGCGCAGCGAGTAATCATCGATAGAGGATGATGCATTCGATAAGCAATTCTTGCGATCACCCTCATCGAGATCATCGATTAGATTGCCATTCTCCTCGAGATCATTGTAGTCATCGATGGCGACATCATCGCCCGAAGAAGTGCTAGTGTCGGTGCTGCTGGTGCGTGTCGAGCGTGAGACGCAGCTGTCGACGCTGGCTATGGAGTGGCGATTGCGTTTGGTATCGTTATCGAGTGGTTTTTTGAGAAATTCGCCTTCATCGACTTCGTCTTCAGTGCCGCCATTTGAGTTGGTCGAACAAATAGACGATTCGAGCAGTTGCTGCTTTGTGGAGCTAAGTTCTGGTGTCATGGCTTTGTTGTCGTGCTCGCCATCATCGACTGTCTCATTGCAGTTGTCGTTATCGATGGTGGAGCTTGTGAGATTGTTATCACGATCGGATAGTGCCTCTACTGGCTGTGGCACAATGATGAGTGAGGTGCGCTTGCGCATTGTCTCATCCTTGGCGTCCATGTTGTTTTTGAGCGTCTTGTCGGATTTGGCCAAAACGACGACTTCCACTTTGGAGGACTCGTAGGCGTTGTTATTGGCATGAAGGGCGTTGTCGGTAGACATTTTGCGGCTGCTGTTGTGTGAATTTGATGGATTTGGTTTTATTTGGCACGTTTTAACACTTTAAATTGATGAATTGCATTTTTGGAGATTATTTTGTGAGTTGTTTTTTTTTTTGTAAAATTTTACCTCTTTCAGAAGTATTATCCAGTAATTTTTCACCTGTTTTTAAAGATTGGATTTATGAATTCAGTATGTGGAACGAGAGTCCATCCAACGGAAAATATCACAAAAGTGTTGCTGAATGAGCAATTTCGCATTTTTTTAAGCTAATGTGTTTGCATTTTATATATATATATTTTTTTTTCTCTTAGCAGATCAAGTTAATATTAAAAAATATAAATTGTGAGAAATATGCCAGTAATAAATGTACATATAATAGGGCTTACCACTCGTATGCAAACATATTATGTACCTAGTAATTATCTAAGTTAGCTTAATGCCAATCATGCATATATGTATGTACATATGTACTCGTATGTAAATATCTTAAAATTAAGTCATGTGGCAAGCTTACATATAATATTTCTTAGGAAAAATTAGTGTTGGGAAGTATCGAGTACTTTTGAGGATCGATAATTTTAAGGATCGGATATTTTTTAGAGTACTGAGTATTTTCTTTAAATATACACATGTTGGTAACATTTCAATACTTAGTGTAGAAATTATTATTATTTATTTAAATTAATATATGAATCCCAAATTACGTCAAATGAATGGTTAACTGTACTGGGTACAAGTATTGTACTTGAAAATGATTGAAATGTGCAAATTGAGTACAATCATTTCTGAATACCCTTAAATGTAAATCAAACTCAGCACTTTTCAAGTCTATTCGACACTTAATACTGAGTACTTTGAATCGATCCTGAGTACATGTATCAAAGCGATTATTGGAACAGAGTATTTTTGAGTACTGAGTACTTTCGAGTTCTTTCAAGTTCTGAATACTTTCAAGTTCCTTGTTTGAGTACTGAGTACTTTCGAGTTCTTTTGTGAGTACTGAGTTATTTGGAGTACTCAGTATCGATACTTTTAAAAATCGGGTGCTGTCAATCCCTTCGAGAATCGAGTTCCGAGTACTTTTGTATCGATACTGCCCAACACTAATAAAAATGTTCAAATACTTTCCATTTCATACTTATTTTCAAATATTTTGCATACCTTTTCGTTTGATTAAGTCTAATTTTTTTGAACGATGGCAATCCTACTTACGATAATTTCGAAATAAAATTTTTTCTTTAATATTATATTTAACTTGCCTAAACTTAGGTATATACACATAAATTATGTTTCTTGGAGAGATGGCAACTCTATTAGGAAACTTAAATATTTTTTGATTTTGGAACGAATTTCCGTCGTCCCCTGTCAAATTTGGTTTGATTTCAGTATTATGCCATCTTCAGTGTCATATTTCGTATAATTTTATTGAGCGATGGCAACCCAACTCGAAAATAGTCGTTAAGAATATTTCCCAAAAAAACTTTCGTTTAAAGCTTACTATTATAGTAGAAGGTTGATCGAGCTTTGCTCGGAATGTATATACTTTTTTACGTTTTCAGGGTTTGAAAGATAGTAATTTGCATAGCTTTAATTTATAAATATTTTTGCTTTTGTGTAATAAATATTGTCAATAGATCTTATTATTTAACATTTCGTTATATGTACACAAATAGCCGGATATATGTGGCCCCCCGTCCAATGAGTATCAATGTAAATAAAGGATCAATGACAAAGACAACATCACGCTAGGAGTTCAAATGTGGAACAACAGAATTTAGAAAACCCAATTGCCGAGAGGTTCCTCGAGTACTTTGACACAGCTCCTTTCCAGGTGGTGCTGCCATGAACTGCCAAGGCTCATAAAACATCTTCGCATGTCCGATACATATGCAGGCACATGTACGCTTCCTATATATTTTTTTTTTACAGATATTCAAAATTTTTGGTCGCTCTCGAGTCATTAGACTTTAAAGTTGAAATTTTTTTCTTCAGTTTTTTTTATCAGTTGACGAAAATACCCTTTTACTAGTTCCAGAGGTTACAGTAATGCTCTTTGGCATCTTCACGACGCCAATTGGAATTTCACTGTACGCCCTGACACTGGTAGTACTTATAGACTGTGCACCATCGACCACGACGGCTTTTTGGCTCCAGGGAACTTTTTGACGGGCGCAGAATAGCCAAACTATGCGACTGGTCCATATAAAATTATACTGCTAAAGAAGCGAAAAGGTTCTATGATGCATCGATGTAAAAGAAAATAACAATTATCTTCAGCATAAAATGTGGTTTTCCACATCAAAAAAGAAACTCATGCTAAATTTAAAATTTCCTTTGCTCTGAAAGTAACCTTAAGAAATGCATATTCGAGTCACGTCAAGCAATATTAATAGGAGTTTACATATTTATGTACAATCAAGCATACTTTAATTCCTCTCAAATGTCAAATGCTATTTTTTAATGTTCGATAAAATTATTACCCACGCAGATGTGTCAATTTGAATTCGAAAGTACGAATATGATTTTTACGACTCGTAAAGTATCAATATTTGGTAGTCAAATAAAAAACACACCCGTACATATGTACATATGTCTTGTGGTCGTATGCCATATGGGACATACCAATATGTATCTATATATGTATGTACATACACACATATGTATGTATTTATCATCTCAGGATCAGGGCTGCCAACTATCCTTAGCTATTAGCTACCATATAGGTACCAAAAAAGGTGCCGTCCTTTTTAATCCTTCCCATTTAGCAATAAAATAAGAACTACATTTCTAAAACAAAAGTGCAATGCCAAAATTAGATAAACCAGTTGAATAATCTTTAGAAGTTAGAAAAGTTTAGTTGGATTTCACAAAAATGTAATGAAATATTACTATTTTTCAAAAGTGCCATTTTAATATAGTTTTTGTTAGAGTTTCAACTACATAAAAAAATAATAATGTTTATTAATTTACAAAATTCTACCAAAATTTTTTTTTTGACGTAGAAAACGTCTTACCTTAAGGTATGGGGGCTATGTTCAAATGTTGTAGTTGTAATTTTTAGAGCTTCACAAAAACGCTTATTGCACGAGAACTAATAAAGCGATTTCAAAGAAAAGTGTGGCGTTTCAAAGATAAAATTCCAAACCTGTCGACAGATTCATTTTTGTAAATAACCAATTCGGTTTCTGTCGTAAAAACAACGGTAAACATTGCCTTATTTTGGGGCCAATTTTGAGCCTTTAAAGTGCTCTAGCAACTTATTGTTGGCATATATAACTTTCATTTTCGGGATATAGGTTCTTTGGAGCAGTAGAAATATTATCGGGTACAAATTTTATATAAATTTAACAAATATTGAGCATTTTAAAGCAAAAAATTGTTGAAAAAATTTGCTCGAAAACCGCTCGAATGATTTTGTTTTTGTTTTCTTTAATCAAAAATTCAAGAGTTTTCCTTTCGTTTGGTATATGGGAAGTATTGGTTGATATCTTCTATATATGTTTATTTTATTCAAATATATGGGCATAAATGATTTTCCATACAAAATCACCTCGTCATCATTTTGCAAACACGTGCATATGTTGGAAGTGTGGGAAGGAGACAAAAAGTATGTATGCGTATGTAATGCGGCTTTTGATCGCAGCGTATGTACATATGTAAATGCATATATACGTACATATGAAAGTTTCACTTAATGTGGATCTGTTTGGTTTTGTTATCGATATTTTTATCGATTTTGTTATCGATTTTGCTATCGATATTTTTATAGATTTTGTTGCCGATATTTTAATCGATTTTGCCATCGATATTTTTATCGGTTTTGTTACCGATATTTTCACCGATTTTGTTATCGAAATTTGTATCGATGTTGTTATTGATTTTGCTATCGATATTTTCGGAACTTATCGATATAATGATCGATATTTTTATCGATTTTGTAATCGATTCTGTTATTGATTTTATTATTGATTATTTATCGGTTTTGTTATCGATACTTTTCTTGATTGTTTTAACAATTTTGTTATCGATATTTTTGTCGCTTTTGTCATCAATATTTTTATCGATTTTTCTATAGATTTGTTATCGCTTTTGTTGTCGGTATTTTTATCGGTTTTTTTACCGATTTTGCTATCGATATTGCCATCGCTTTTGTTATCGATAGTTTTATCGATTTTTTTATCGAATTTATTACCGATTTTGTAATGGATTTTTTGATAGATTTTGTTATCAATTTTGTTATTGACTTTGGAATCGATTTTGTTATCGATTTTGTAATCGATTTTTCGATAGATTTTGTAATCGATTTTGTAATCGATTTAGTTAACGATTTTGTTATCGATATTTTTATCGATTTTGTTATCGATTTTATTAGCGCTTTTGTTATCGATATTTTTTTCTTAGTTTGTGCTTTCGTTTTTGACTTGGATATGCTCTTAACCATACCACGTATTCTACGTTTAAATTTAGCGGGTGTATCTCCGATACAGCCTGCAGACCAAGACGAAGGCGCTGGACTGTTCCTTTTTTAAGTGGTGGTAAGGTTTGCGTGTCCACAAGTGTAGTTATAGTTAACACAATCCTAATAGTAATCGTCAGCGTATCTGAAAACTATAATAGCTTTTGGATAAAAAAGAGTTTCCTAATTCTTTCCATCTAATTATCGAGTGAAGTTCATTAACATTACCATTGAAAAGTGATACAGTTTTACATAATCAACTGCATTGGTCATAGTACAATATTACTGACGACAAAAAAATAAAAATAAATAAAAGATAAAAATTAATTGGAATAAACTCAAGTGAAGAGAAAAAAGAATAATTGGACACCCAGAAATCAAAAAGAAAATATACGAATGGTCGATTTCTAAGAAAATTGCGTAACCTGCAGTAAACGTAAGCTGAATTACAGTTTGAACGAAATGCGATTATAGGTAAAAGAAACAAAACATAACAAAATAAAAATAAATGTTAAAATCCCAAACTGCAAACGAAAAATACGAGGGCGATTTGATTTACTAAATTTTGTTGCGGTTCTGCCAGCACCAAGGGAACCCGAACGTGCAGGTTACCCAAAAATGTCGTCACTCCAGAAAACGTCGATGAAATCAGAGACTAAAAAGTAGCCAAAGTAGTGGACTTCTCCGGGTGCACCAAAATTGG